CTTTTACATTCTGTACTACAGGGACAGGTTCTCTTTAATTAGGTTGCTGCTGTTGGTCATTTGCAATACTGTCAGTGTATATCTCCTATGCTATTTGCACCTCAGCACCAATGCCCGGGTGATGCTGAACCACCTGACAATGCCCTGGTGATACTGAACCATCTGTCACTGACTATACACGGTTTTGAGTCACAGCTTATTGGCTGTACCATTTAGATTTATCCTAATTACGTCAATTCAGTTCTTGTTCTATTCTCTTTTTATTCTATTTTCATTTTACTTTATTCTATTTTAGTTCCTAAATGTTATGGCACCCAGTACTAGGTGAGAGAGAAACGGTATTTCGATTTTCTGTATGTCCTGCACATATGTTGAATTGACAATAAAATCCTTGAACCTATTTTGTTAAGAACCTACTTAAATCATGGTAGAATGTGCACTGTATTTAAAAGATCCATTAAAATTTCAGCAAGATCCTCCATACTTGTATTCCAAATTCTTCTCTCTCCCTGTGCACCCACAGGTTCTCCTCTCCCTGCGTCTCCTGCTGATGATGAAACCTCATGTCCTGTCCCGGGTCAGCAGGGAGGTGGCCTATGGACTTCATGAGCTGCTGAGGACTAATGCAGCTAATATCCACAGTACAGATGACTGGTACACACTCTTCTCCCTGCTGGAGTGCATTGGGGCTGGAGTGAAACCCCCCGCCTCCTTCCAGTTCACCTCTACCACTGCTGACAATGACACAGGTTCAGTATCATTTCTAGCATCATGACTTTGTGCCTGAGTTTCAGGAGGTGGGCTCAGCAGCAGCTGATTTTACTCTGATGAGCACAGTGTAAACCCAGCCTCCGTATTACATGGTGTTAAAACCTCCACAGTTTAAATGGTCTTTAAGGGTTGCTTATAAGGTTTTATGTCTGAAACTGTTGGTGTTTATTATATTAAAAATCATTTCTGGGAAGGGGTTTTGGTTTCTTTAGCAGATACAAAGCACAGTATTTTTCTTGGAATTTAGGAGTAATATTTACTTTTATAGAAGAGTTTATAGTGATGATTTTGTTGATGTTCAGAGTAAACGGTCCTACTTAATGAACCTCTGTTATACAAAAGAGTCCAACATGTAAACCCTGAGAGAAAATGAAAATGAATGAAAATATGTGTGCCTGCTGTCTGTCTTCAGGTGCCCAGTCAGACAGTGAGCTGTCTTCTCACCATCCCAGTGAAGTGAGTTTAGAGCGTGGCTACACATCTGACTCCGAGGTTTACACTGAGCACAGCAAGACCAGGATCCCTCGTTCTGATGTAGATATAGCAATCAGTGGATGGCTTGTGGTCAGCACACACTCATGCATGTACACACATGTACATCCTCACATATGCACAAAAGACTTGGATAATGAGCAGCAAGGCAGACTGTGTATTGTGTATGCACAGTCACTGAAATATTGTCACATGTTGAACACATGAACATATATGTGATACAGAACATATCACATGAAAACCAATTTGGCACTCTAACATTAAAAAATGTATTTGTATAGAACCTTTTAAGGACACTGAAAAGAAATGAGTAGTTAGATTGAGGTTATAGTAAGTTAAAAGAATAGCTGTAAAATAAATTGTTTAATTTCCTGTTTTTCAGCACATAATATAATCAAATTCTGATACATGAATTATGATTGAATTCCTGTGATTTGTACTTTTTCCAGGTTGGGAAAGATGACCTGGAGATGAGTAAGGCCCCTCCAGTAAGCTCTAAAGCTCAGCTGAATCACCCACTGGTCAACCAGTACAGTTTGACACTGGGTCAGGATCTGGGCCAGCATGACACAAAATCTCTAATCAAGTGTGTGGAAACCCTCTCTTTCATTGTCCGTGACGCTGCCCATGTCACCCCTGACAACTTTGAGCTGTGTGTCAGAGCTATACGAGTGTTTGTCGAGGCCAGCCTCAATGGAGGTGAGACACTTGCATAGCATGCATTTTCAATTTCACAAAAACATTTTTTTAAAAACTTAATGAACCAATGCTGACTGAAGTTGTCTACCCACCCGTCCAGCAGAAAAAGAGCAACCTCTGTGTCCGTCTCATTGACTTAAAAGCTAGACAAACCCAAAGTGATGTCACCCACCGGGTTTCTGAAGAGCGTTTTTGAAGCTCAACTATGCCGCTGCCATATTGCTAGCGCTTTACCCTGTCTGCTACCTCTAATCCAAAATTGAGCAAAGAGGCGGGGTGTGAGTGGAGCTCTCTAGACAGCTAGCGGCCAGCCACCAATGGCATGAACCTCCCACTTGTCACTCACAGTGACCACACCCTTAAAAGGTTTCCTCTGTGGAGAGCATGACAGCGCTAGATGAAAAGTAACAGAGAAACCAGAACACACAGGGCCCAGTTTGAAAGGAGCATTGATGTGCTTGCTAAATGCTTAATTTACAGTTTGGTGTTGATTTTTACACCTAATGTTGTGGCTAGTTTACAAATGACTTCTTCAACAAGAAAACAAGGCTACATACGTATATAGTAGAGTTAATTTGGTACAAGGCTAAAAATTAGCACAGATCCAGAATGTCAGTTAGAGACTGAAGAAAGCTTCGAAGTGTAAACATCATAGCTGCAGTTTGATAGCTCATGTGTGGAGACGGCTGAATGACAATGCACAAACCCTACAGTCACATGTTGCCAGGGTTGTTTCACCCACTCTGGAGTTGGTGATCTGCACCCAAGAAACTGCACAGTAATCCTGGAGTTGTACCACCCTATACTGTTTCATTTCGAGGTTTAGAGTTGAGAATTCAGCTTCCAGCAAAGCAGTTGTCTAAATATGTACTGAAATGGAAATGCTTGCTGTCAACAGTGCTTTCCTTTTCAAGGGTCTGTCCAAGCCTCTCAAGTGGGCAGGAAAAAAAAATCAAAACTGTGTTTGCCTCTAGTTTTAGATCTCAAACAAGATCAGTAAACATTTTCAGTCGTTTGCTTCCTCAGGATACCGCAATCACGACAAGAAGAAGAGCCACAAGTATGACTCCTCCAAGTCGCGGATGAGGAAGAAGGCTGGAGGGAGGGAAAAGGAGGGTGGAGCTGGCACAAGGCGAGGTGGCAGCCGTGCATCCAGCCAGCGTCCATCACGTTCCCACAGTGATGACGAGGAGGATGAGGGTGTCCCAGCCAGCTACCACACGGTGTCTTTACAGGTTAGTCAGGACGTAAGTACAATAGCCGTCTTCACCCTTATACCTTATGTCGGTTTGAACCTGGACATCCCAAAAGCATCTTGTTTGACCTGTAGACGTTTCTTGTAGGCACAACTCCCAGCTTTTCACTGAATGGATAAACAGTTCTTTAGGCTAAGGTGATTATGGCATCAAGATGTTTTTGGGAAACCATGGCTTTGGCACCCAAGGGAACATTAAGGGTGGGTGTAACTTTATATTGAAAAGGAAAATACATGAAATAACAATGCAATTAAATAAATAATGGAGAAAAATATGTCATAAAAATGTTCCATGGCAAGACATTCCTTACACCTGTCATGCGGAACACGTCATAGCATTTACAGTCATGTCACAGTGTTTAAGCTGAACATTACACCCCTCCTTGATGGTTTCTCCTTTGTCCTGTGTTTCTGGTGTGGTGGTGTCTTTGGTGGCAATGAAAGCTTAAAGGATAATACTGGTGTATTTTTTTCCTGTTGCTATTGCCTTTATGCAGAGTTCCCAGCTGTTTTCTAAGAACACAGTCCTGTCATTTGATTATTCTTGTCACATGCTGCATGTAGTTGGCATCAAAAATTTTAGGTTTGTGTTTCCTTTTCCATGTCAGTGGAAAAACATGTTAAAACTGCAGAGGCGGACTAACCTGTACAGTGTGTAGCTTATTTAATATAAATGAATGTGAAATTTAAAGCTAACCAAATATAACTGAAAATGAAGGACAGAAGAATTGTGACGCATGCTAACGAAAACTTGAGGTTGCTTGCATATGGATTATAAATTTGCTTTCTTTCCTGGGGTGAAATGAGAAGACTGACTGAATTTGAAGCCTTTGTGTCAAGTGCACAGCTGGAGTCAACCCATCTTAGCATAAAGTTCAAAGTTCAATATGACACCTGCCAACATCTAAGCCACAGATTAACTTGTTATATCTTATTTATTTAATCTGTTAAAGTTTTGTGTTGGAACTATTTCAAGTTGAACAAAAGTGGCTGTACACAGCTTTCATTATGCCTGTACAGACCCATGGATGGAACGAGTAATGGAAAGTTGTACTCTGAAAAACTGGGACAATTTGTAGCATGTGCATACAGATTTACAAATTACAAATATATAGCCGCCTTCCTCTAGCTGTCCTAGAATTGAGCAGAAGAGGAGACAACTGACAGTTATCAAAAATGAAGTATTGTTACCACACAGCATTCTGTCAGAGCCAAACTCATTTTTGGTCTCTGGACAGAGCCAGGTTCACTGTTTCCTTTTGCTTCATCTTTTTGCTAAGCTAGGCTAATCAGGCCCTGACTCTAGCTTTGTACTTAACAGACATTCGAGTTGTATCTATAATCTTGCCTCATCTCTGATGTAATGCACATTTAGCCCATTTCCAAAATTTTTAACCATTGGAACAATCAGTCAGTGTTATAATTTGGATGCTCGCTTGTATCTGCAAATAATCTCCTCCTGTGTTATCCTTTAATTTGTCTGGTGGGGGAACATGATGATACTGTGAATCCTCCTTTTCCCTTTCTACACAAACACACACAAGCAAAGCTTCACTTCCTTTTATACTGTGTAATGTACAGTATTTGGTTGAGAAGAGAGTCTGTAGTCCAATGTACAGTATTATTTGGTTGAGAAGAGAGTCTGTAGTCACTAATAGTGTTCAGTATACTCTATAGTTATTCCTCTGGAGAAAGTTTTAATGAGTTCTTGTGGAAGCTATTTTTGTCTGTAATATAGAGTATAATGCCCTGATATCAGATTGTATCACATACACAGCTACTGTATACCGAGCAAAGTAGGTGTTGCAACTACTAAATGAATAAACTTTAAATATATCACTGCGATATTTCCAGTATGGCTTCACTTGTCATCCCACACTTGACATTTAGTTGTTTATTGTAGATATTAGACCATCCATTCTGTTATTGTCAATGATGATTTTGGTGTGTGTGTGTGTGTGTGTGTGTGATGGTACAGCTGTTAGACCTCATGCACACCCTGCACACCCGGGCGGCCAGCATCTACAGCTCCTGGGCAGAGGAGCAGCAGCATCTGGAGGCTGCAGGCAGGAAAATTGAGGCAGACTCCCAGACTCTGTGGACCAGCTGCTGGTGTCCGCTGCTGCAAGGTAGGTCGTTCTGTCAGTAGCTCTCATGCACTCCACTACAACAGCTTTTGAAATAGTAATTTAATGAAACGTATAATGTTCATATTTGTTGAGACATGGTAGTTTTTGAAGCTTACTTTATTGTCTTTTTCTGGAGTGCAGAAGGTTTGATTACTTCCTGAAGGCACTGCATATTGCATCATATTAGATGTAATATCAAAAACCTAATTAGAATTTACATATAATGGGAACAGAATACTGCAGGGTCACTGTACTAGCACCTCTGAAGTTCCTATAGCGTATGTGACATAACTGCTAACATGAAAACATGACTTTAGCTTAAATAACAGTAAATATATTTCATGCATTTTTCTTTTGGACAAAAGCCATTTCAGTGCCTGTTTGAAATTGGGTTGAAATAATGTTTTTTAGAATATGTAAATACATGATACTTGAATTTTTGAACTGTAGATTTTAACTATAGATTGTTATTGAACAAATTCATTTATAAAAAGCAAACACAAAATGCCTTAATGTAGGAAAAACAGCTCCCCAAGAAGAACAAGAATTTCAGAACATAAACTAGATATTACCTCTCCTGCTACTCACCATTTTAGGGGAAGAAGCCATTTTGTTTCCAGACTTGTGTGTTGGTGTGGAAGAGTGATGCTAAGAGGTGGTCATCTACAAAGACTACAGCTACTACAACATCAGACCTGTTGGATTTTCACATTATCTCCTACAAATTGAAATGAGGAATTTGATCCATCTCACAAATTGTCGAACGCCTTTGTTAACACTCCTTTTGTCTTGCACTACAGTGACTTATGACAGTTTACCTGATGCTTTCATTGTAATGTGCAGCACAAGTTTGTTCATTATGTAGATTTTGAAGTAGTCACTAGGCATTATATGTTTGAAATTGCCTCTTATATAGCAAGAATTCTTTAGTGTGAATGTGCATGCGGAAGACAACTAGAGATGAATGAAAAGTGGGGAACCAGACATTGTTATTAGGCTGATTTGGTTGAATCACTGTGCGTCACTTTGAGTCTGAACCACAGCTGATGTCTGTTATATTGTTGCCCACTCCAGGCATTGCTTGGCTGTGCTGTGATGCCAGGAGACAGGTTCGTATGCAGGCCCTCACCTACCTACAGAGGGCGCTGCTTGTCCACGATCTACAGACACTTGATGCAACTGAGTGGGAGTCCTGCTTCAATAAGGTAAGGAAGGACAGAAGGTACATGTCTTATTATCATATCCTCTGCCTGCTCTTATATTATTTACATTATATTAACCAAGTGATTTAATCTCCTGCAACTTTCTTGTCAGAATTTTGGTTACACTTGTGTGCATTTCAAAGCCAGTGGTGTTTCACAGATTTCAGACGCTGCCTGATCTGGTGTGTACATAATTGTGTTTGTGTTTGCAGGTGCTTTTCCCCCTGTTGACTAAGCTACTTGACAACATCAGTCCGGCAGATGTGGGTGGTATGGAGGAGACCAGAATGAGAGGCTGCACACTCCTGTCAAAGGTCCAAACCAACAGGATTCATCACCAACACCCAGCAGACACTTCAGAAATATTCACAATAGTGCCTGATTTGGGTAGTCTGTCAGACTAATTTTGGGACTCAATCATGAAAGAGTTAACACAGAGGTCGTGCTAGACTTTCGTGTTGTCCGTCAGGGTCACAAAAATTCCCTCCTAATTCCCAGTCAGTTTAATTTTCATGTAATCATTTTCACTCATTTTCATTTTTTAATGGTGAATATACAGAACAAGCTAATGTGCAGCCACTTTTCATGTCAGCACCACATGAAGCAGATGCCAACATGGCCACTCTGTGTAAACAAGCAAATATGAACACTGCAATTTTACAAATTAAGACAGTTACCATTATAATGTGAACAACCCATTGACAAGAAGGTAGGCTAACTGAACTGAACTCAGCTGACTTGCCCTTAAAATTTGGATCTGAAAGCTGAATCAGCACCCTGCTGCCGCACTGGAGACTGGACTGCCAGCTCCACTTCAGACAAAGTTTGGAAGTCAGGGAACATTTCTCTCCAAAAGTGATTAAAGGTTCCTTTGAACATGAGATTTCCTGATCCTGACACAGTCACTTTTTCAGGAGGAATCCGCTGCATGTGCTGCTTCTGCACCAGAGGCGCACCTCTATGACCCATCACAGACGCAGTCCGTTGCCTCCTGTCTGTGGCTCTTCAATGAGCTGTCAGCTTCCAGAAAGCAAGATACATTATGGTCTCAGTTGTCCTTCATCCACTGCATCAGTTGCTCTTTTTCATATCATTTATCAATGCCATAGCAATTATTGGGCTTTCTAATAGCCTAACTTTCAGGTAGTGTAGATTGTCCTCTGTGGTTTAATCTGTCGGAATGACAGATGGCTTTCAGATTTCTCTGTCATTATTTTAAAAAATTCCATCAGTAAGGGACAGTTTTTGGATAATGCGACCTCAGAGTTAACGTCATCTTTTATATACCTCATTTCTTGTAGCCCTGTGCTAGTCTTGCCTATTTGTGATGAATTTTACCTTCTCAGTTAATTTTGAAAAGAAGATTCGAATAGGCAAGGTCAGCCATCAACAGCAGATGGTTGTTGATGAGCATCTTTAGATACACTAACAATCTTTTTATGTTTTTTTTCCAACATGGATCTTATTTTTGGCCATTGTTTTCCAGGGTTATCACTAATCATAGCTTTCTAATGTGGAGTGACACCGTAACACCGTCATGAGCTCACAGAAATCCTCCGTTTCCCCCACAACCTAAACCACTGATTTGGAAGTAAAAATGAAAGGGAGCATGCCTGAAATGTCAGCTGCCATCTTAGATTGCTGCTATGATAAGTACTGTAGGTCAGTGAGCCAGAAAGTAGCTCTTTAAAAATGAATGAACATTTACAGTAGTGAGGACTGAAGAAACCAGCTCTTTCCTTACGCTGACAGAGCTCATGCTCCTGGCAGCTGCTGAGGCTGATGTGTGATTGTCTTCTTCATGTCCAGGTTTTCCTGCAGCACCTGTCCCCTCTGCTCTCCCTGCCTACCTTTGCTGCCCTCTGGCTCACCATTTTGGATTTCATGGACAAATACATGCATGCAGGATCCAGTGACTTACTGGTGAGGAAAGTGATACAGTGGACAGCATTAATACTAACGTAGTAGTATTGTCATGTGTTTTTTATTAATTAGAGCTTATCTGCGGGATTGGGTTGAGGGCTGCTTCAGAATGATTGGACAAGCTGGTGTCAGCTACCACAGTATACGTAATCATCCATGTTCTATCCTGTTTGCTTCAAGTATGGCAGGAAAATATGTACAGTATATGTAAATATCACAGTGGATGTTCATGGGAAGGCCTAAGCCCTTCCATGTTAAAAGGGTTTTGTCTTTTATGGGCTATTGACACCTTCAGTCCAAAGCTGTTTGTGTCACCCTTAGAAACACTATAGAGTCTGTCTTCAGTGTAGACACGGTACATTCATCTCTAACTAACAGCTGTTTGTCTGTCCTGAGCACATTCTACAGGTTGGTTCTGGGTTTGGTATCAGATAAAGCAAAGCTGATCAAATGCTTATTTACTTTATACTTTACCACCTGGGGCTCTTATCCTGGTGGTGTCTGCATCTCTCTCGCCTCTCCTCTCCCTGTTCTCTGTGTGGAGCAGGGAAGGGAGTGGTGATGTGTTCACAGACAGACACACACCTGATTTAAGTAACTTGATCACAACTCTCTTTAAATGTACAACAAATTCTCAAGGAATGAAGACAATACAAACCATCCATCAAACTTTAGCTCTTAAACAAGCATTTCTCTTGCATTTCGCCCCTAAATCAGCAAAAGTCTACACAGTCAGAAGGTGTTGTGCCACATTGGACTCATTTTATGTAACTGTTGACTCTAATTAGAGTCTAATTATTAAAAGTAGCTACATTCTTATAGAATTTACACAGTCACCCTCCTGACCACAGTACACAGTACATCATAGCATCATGTGTCTGGTTTTAAAACATTTGGAGGACCCTCTAGCTTATGCTGGGCTGCTTTTTTTTTTTTTTTTGCTCTGATTTTAGCTCTGCTTTTAACACTACAGTGCTTTTTGTCTTATAGCAGAAGCTAAAACTGTTCATCCCACCCTTGTTAAGTAGTACCATTTGATTTTGATAGACAGAACTGAGTGCCTTACAATAAACAGTTGTGTCTCACAATCCACAACTATTAACACTGGGGCCCCCCAAGGTTGTGTTAGCTCAACCTTGGGGGTTAGCAATGACACAGATGTTTTAAGTCTACTTCACGCACACAACGACATAACTATTTACCACTCATAAATCTTTTTTTCAATGAATGGTGTGACACAAATAGGGTCCCAAGATGTAAAGACAACCGATACAGGAAGTTCTTTACCTTTACCTTAACTTTACCTTTCTATTTATTTACCACTTCTGGTGCTTGTTGTGAAATTTGTATGATGCTGCTTCGTGATGCGCATGATAAAGTTCCCCAAGGGGACAATAAAGTATCTATCAATCATCCCATCAAAGCAAGGTCAGATTAGATCAAATAAATGGACTGAGCTGAAGCATAAACAAGTTTCTTTTACTGAAAGTGTCAAATTAACCTTTGATGTGATGTTCTGAGCTAAACGTGATGCTTAAACAGAGCAGAACTAAATAGTAAGGACTAGGAGGAACTAGCATTTCAATGGCCCAAGGCCGCTTTCTGACTCTGAGGTTAAGACATAACGAGAGAGTTTTAAATATTACTTTGATCAGTTTTGCACGTGGTCCAACAGACCCATTACATTTTTTTTCTGTAACCTCTATTCCTCGGAAGTAAGGAAATGAACACTGAAATGAGTAAACAAAGTGTATGAGAGACCTAAAGTAACTCTGCCATGTTTATCTCAGGAGGAAGCGAACCATTTGTGGGCTCCTCATAAAATGATTTGTACGAAAAGAGGAAAATCCCCAGAGTGGGGTGGTACCCCCCTGAGCTTTACTCACCTCTCTGGGACGAACTTGGGCAAAACACATTAGATGTGATTCTTGCAGCAGTTGTAAAGGGCTCCTCCTGCAACAGTGTCAACATGGGTTTACTTGTTGTCCCATCCCAGAAAAATAAAATCATAGAGAACCTCCTTTTAAAACAATCTAGTGGCTTAAATGATTTTAAATCTGTGAATTAGAAGACATATAATAGAGCATGTACAGTAACACTGCAAGTTATCTAAAAATGTAAAACTCACCAACCATGGAACCAAAAGAATAGGCTCTAAGTCTGATGTTGACTGATTAACTCGCACCTTGTAATTGGGCTGCCTCTTTGTTTTTATGTGTAGTTGGAGGCAATTCCTGAGTCTCTGAAGAACATGCTGCTGGTGATGGACACAGCAGGGATCTTCCACAGTACGGACTCCAGGACAGGATACTCAGACCTGTGGGAAATAACCTGGGAACGAATAGTCTGCTTCCTGCCTCACCTAAAGGAGGAGCTCTTCAAACAGACTGTCATACCAGGTACACAGCGCTGTGCGTGCCAGACAAGATGAAGTTGAATGGTGTGCTGTAATCACATGTTTGCATTTTAATTTCATGTGTTACTGGGAAATTGTCACCTGTGTTTCTCACATTTCATTTTCAATTTTAGATCCGGTGTCCAGTTCTCTAGCAGAGACTGTGCAGCCCACACCCCCCGCAGGCCGGCCTTCATCCCCTCAGGTGTCTTCACCACCTGCCCAGCCGCCCTCCCCGATCCCAGTAACCCCTGCAGAGGCACAGATCCCCATCAGGCCAGCATCACCCCAGGAGTTTCAACCAACCAGTGCCACTGGTAAAAACACTGAAGGCTTCCTTATACATACAGTATAAAAACTGCATAGCTGGACAATAAATTTCTGTCAAGGTGTCACTTTGTATTGTATCCAACAGTTAAGAGAGAGACGGTACTGACCAGTGTCCATTTGTCTGTAATTCATTAGACCTGATTTCTAAAGTACTGCTACAGGGCTACTTACTGATGGCTACAAGTGTCGGTACCCTTCCATTAAATTAAAAAGAAAAAGACAGTTAACTTTTAAATCTGTTGAAACTGGCAACAGGGATCCACTTTCTCTGTTCCATATGTAATAAAACATACACTGATTTTGATTTTGAATAACACAACAAATAAAAATGACATGCACAGACTTGAGACCTTTTTAGCCTGCTCTTCTCTACCACCCCTCCTGAGACATCACTGCAGTCAAGCTCTTTCTTTAGCTTTCCATGACACTTGTCCATTTCCCAGCTGCCAGTCTGCCTTCACTCCACTTCCCTCAGGTCTAATGGGGCTGAGTTCTGGCTCTTTCCATACACGTTCAGCGGGGTTACAACGAGGACACACATCAGCCGCTTCAGAATAACCATTCTTAGTGCCTTTAGATGTTCAGGCTCTTCTCTTGTGGAGCTGCAGCTGAGACACTCTCTGACACTGTGTTTCTCTGCAGAACGCAGTGGTAATCTTCTGATCTGACTGGGTCCATAACAAAACTGAGCTGCCTCCATGTTTCACTGAGGGAATGCTGTCCTGTTCTTTGAAAGCTTCGCCTAGTAGGCACATCCAGGGAGGCAGCTACGCTCCTGTGGACCTTTAAATTCTTACTAACATCCACAGCTGTGGTAACCGGAGCAGCCAGCTGCTTAGAGATAGTTTTGTTGCATTTGTCCTGAACATGTTTGGTGACTATTTTCTCCCTTATCTCCTCAGACAACTCTCTTCTCTTCTGTTTCTTGGCCTTGTCCCATGTTCTGTGTGGTGCACACAGTGATACCAAACAGCATGAGGACTTTTCTCCATTTAATCAGGCCCAGTGTCTGATTTTAAGAGTGAAGACACTTATAATACTGACAACAACAGTCTATCACTACAACCCACTTTCTATCACCACTTCTTGGGGGGGATGAGTCATTTTGTTCAGGCCATTTCAGAAGATCCTTGTGGAATGCAGCTGCAGGTGTACATGACAGTTTCCACACGATTCAGGAAGAACATCACTGTGTCAGTGAGGTGCACATGTGCCAACACTTTTAGCCACGTCTGTAAAAGTAAACACGAGCCCAGGAGCCTGTACCATGAAGCAGGTTCGGTTTGTCTGGCTTCAATGAGCCCAACGTTGAGCATCCCAGATAACCGGTACCATGAAGCCGGTTATTAGCTGGCTCTGTTAAGTCTGGGTTTTCCTATCTGTCGCTGAGCTTGTTCATATGAAAGAGGCGGAATTGTTAATTAGAAACGACATCACCTGAACCATGAGTGAAGTACTGAATATAACATGAGATGGAGCAGTGATACCTGCAGGGAAAATCATTTAGAGCCAAAGCAAACACTGATGTTATGGTGAGTGAACTGTGGTCACATACAGTGACTACAATCAAATAACAAGCTACTGAAACACTGGAAATAACTGTCTAATCTTTTACTTAGATATGACAGGACAGTGGAGAGAAGTTACATCTAAAGTCACATGTTCATTTTTAATCGTGGGAAATATTTAACAATGTGTGGATCATCTTTCTAAGAAAAGGCCATTTGTCATCTGAATGTGCTCATGTTATTCTGAGCCACAGTCAGAAATTCAGTCGGGAGTCAAATCGTCTTTAGTGCATTAATGCAGCGTTATTCATCATGTCGGCAGCTGACTCCTCAGTCAATTAGGAACTCTTAAACCAGAGGGACCTGTGGGTAACCTGAAACTGTGGACTGTCCCTGTCATGATGTTGATGATGTTGAGCCAATCCTCTGAAGTTGACCTGCTCCGGAGCAGGTTAGACGTGCAGCGTAGGTTACCATGGTAATCTAGCCTGATTAAAAGTGAGCCAGTGTCATGGTACTGGAAAACCTGAGCTGAGCCAAAGTGAGCCAGAATAGCCACTAATCTCACTTTGTGGCACAGGGCCCAGGTGTCAAAGGTCACTCAAACCCTGCTTTGCAGTCGTGTCTCATTATAAAATGAACTTGTGGAATAGTTATTGAATTGTTTTTAAAGTCTATTTTGTTTTCTAGGATCAGGCCAATCATCTCCTGTCCCGCCCTCGACTCCACCTATGCCAGTGCCGTTAACATCCACTGCGCAGGCTCCCTCACCCATGAGCCAGTCCCCTCTCATCCTGCAGCCCCTCGCCTCTCCCCTGCAGGTAGGAGTCCCACCAATGTCCCTACCAATCATCTTGAACCCTGCCCTCATCGAGGCCACATCCCCTGTACCACTGCTTCCTGGTCCCAGACCTACGAGCCCCTCTGATGAGGTCCAGTAAGCTACCCCACAGCCCCATTGCCTGGTCTTTATGAACTGGACTGAACAGACTTCAGTTCCCTCTTCAAAAGCTGTTTGTCACCAGTTTATTAAAATGTTGAAATATGTGCGAGAAGACTAACTACTGGTGGGTCGACACCTCATATATGCCATATGTTGGTTAAAAAGGGTTAGGTGAGGGGTAAGATTAGACTTCAACATCTGACACTGTTAAAATACCATTAGTTGCTGGTGTACCATGCATCTTTGTGCCATTCTTGTGCTATAAATTTTCTAATTACTGTGGATAAATGACTAAATGTGATATGTCCAGATATTCAGGAACTGAAAATTAAGGAAGACATTCCTTCTTTGAAGAACAGTCCCAGTAAAAGAGTGACGGGTGTCAGTGGGGCTTCACCAGAACAAGCAGGGCTGGCGTTACCACTGAGACCAGAGCTTTCTATTTCTGGTCAGAACATCCTGGGGAGAGTTTGTGTTTTATTACGCACAGGGGGCATTTTACAGGCTGATTCTAGTGTTTATAAACCAAACACAATCACATAACAATACAAAAGATTCAGTATTTCCCTGCCAGGAGGTAGTAGGATACACAAGGGTAAGAATTAAAATATGTACTAACACCTGCCGTGGGGGTCTGGTCTCATGACCTCAGGATCATGGCCCTGGCTGCGGCACTTTTTCCTAAACTTAACTCCTAAATAGCCTTGATAAAAGGGTTATATGTGAGGGTAGAATTAATGCTGACATCACTATCAGGTGAATGGGATTTGGACGATCAGTCTCCAAACACATGATGTTGTTTCAGGAACCAGACGTTTTTTCTAGGAAGAGAAACGAGTGTAGGAGACACTTCTCACCTGAAGGCAGCAGCATGTTTTTTCCTTTCAGAGGACCCCCCCCTTAGATCTGACCTTGATAAGACCATGATGACCTCACGGCTTCACTCCTATGCCTGTGCTACATGGCCACCTATAGGTTTGAGGCAGGGACAGGTTGGATTTTAACTACTGCATGTTGTCGATTATGTTCCAGAGCTTTAATTTCAGTCGGATAAAGTTGGTATTTCACCCGCTATTATCGCCAGTGTCTGAAGACTGTTCAGATAAACAACTTTTTTTTTTTACAGAATGTCACTTAGTTTTGCATCAGAGGCCAAATTTGGCTCTGTTTTGCTGTTACTGGCCAAAGACGGACACTGGCCTGTGATATTTATTCCGACCCATTTTATTTCAATTCAACGTGAGGTTTTTGTCCTACCAACAAAAAAAAAAAACAAGCTCTGATTTCAGGAACCTTATGAATTCCTTCTCCACTGAACACAGGGACTGTGCACACATGAATCCTTGCTCAGTTGGTCTGGAGGTGTCACATTCCACAATGGAGATACTGTACCTGAGGCTGCTGTAAGAGAGTTAAAGATCCATACGGTGATTTCTTTGGTTTATGATAAATCTAACAAATAATTTCAAGCCTGATGTCATTTTATCATGTTTGTGGAGCTGACTGAATACAACAGTCCACAGGTGATGAATGCCCGGGGCCTGAGGATGTCTTACTTGTATTACAGCAGAGTCTGTGGAAGCAACTCCCAGCAGTACCTTAAGACCTGAACACTAAATTGAATCATTCCAGAATATTTCATGTTGGAAATAAATTACCACTTTCATGTATATTGGAAACCATCAGTCTCAGTTTATATGGTTTGAAGTTTTCACCAGGGCTTTCCATGGATAAATATTGGTTGCATAGTTTTAGAGATATAAATTCAGAGGTACTTTGGCACAGAAGGTGCTCAGTTGTGTTTCACTTTCACAACGAGCTCCTCAGCCGCTGCAGTTTTCCTCCACAGATGTCTGACGTTACTGCATGATGATTGTGCCTTGTGTAAAATGACGTGTACCCTGACAAACGGAGATTAATTCACCATTGTAATGCCAAAATGCATCTTTAAGTAGGGTGTAGATGGGGGCACAGTTTCACATCCAGTCAAAGTGGCCCTGGGATGCTCTTAGTCTTGTTTCATGTTATTTATTGGATTGGGAATGAAGAGATGGATTTTTCCACTGCAGTACAGTTGACATGGAGACTGTTTTGTCAGTCAGTAACAACAGCCACTGACTCTGGATGTTTTGTCAAGCTGTTTATTTGTTGTATGGGACTCTTAGATGTATCAGCTGACTCTTCAACAGGAAATGACGAATATAATGTTTGTATATATATATAAATGAAAGGTAATGTACTTTTTACTATGAATAAATATAATGTAAAAAACGTGCTCATTGTGGCGTTAGTTTTTTTTTTTTTTTTTCTTCATCCCCTTAAATACAAACCATATCTTATGGTCTTATGTACTTGCGGTAAAAAAAGATATTTTGGTTTTTGATTTTATAAATTTGCAAACGTTTCTAAACCCGGGGTTTCACTTTACTATAGGATCCTGAGCATAGACCAGTGGGCAAAGATGACCGTTTTAGCCATTTAAAATCAAATTGTGCAAAAAGTGAAGGGGCTTGAATATTTTCTGGAAGCTTCTGCATCTTATTTTTCCTGTGCCAGAGAAAAACTATTAAAGCTCAGTGGGTCACCCACAGCCGAGTGGTTGCAGCACACATTACGTGGACAACGTTGACAGATCAATATGACCAGTGATGTTTGTGGCAGGTCTCCCCCACTCTGTTTCCTGTCCATCTCTTGGTGATTCGCTGTTAAAAAAAGCTAAACTTAAAAAAAACCTCACTAACACTGGGTGACATGTAAGTACAGTGTCCAGCTGTTTGGTTACAAGACTGAGTTCTCATGATATAATCGATGACGTCTACCTGACATTCTACACTGTGTGTTAACACGTTCACTAATGTGTAAAATGTACCACTTTAAAAACAACACTGTTAAAAATGAGATAAAGGTGTTGAAAGTCTGAACAGACCTCTGGTGTAAAACATCTGGGTTTTATTTCAAAGCAGAATGAGAGAGAACCACAGTTTTTATTAAGTAAACTAACTGTATCAGAAACTACAGAGGCCACGGGAGGAACCGTTATATTTGTGCATGTAAATGAATTTAAAAACATCACTGAAACAAGGAACCATAATGGCAAACTGTGAATTTAAACTATCTAACCCATAAAGAAAGCAGTCTGTTGAAGGGACAGGAACATACTGTAAATATGAACAGCACTCCACTCACAAATATTTGTGTTTTCTCTTTAAGTGAGACAGAACCAGACCCCCTACTGTTATGTCACCTATCTACAGCAACAGACAACACTTAGAAAACCACAGCCTTTTAACAAGAATCCTCACTTGGCATCCAGCTTGGCCATTTCCTGAAGGTATATTCCAATACTCTCACTGTCGAACAGCACAAAGTAAATGTTTTTCAGAGACGAGCTGGTGGATGACACAAAATGGTTGGAGATAGCCTTGAGGATGAGCTGGGCAGCCGTTTGCTTTGGGAATCTGTTTCTGTGACAGAGATTCAGGCTGTTAAAGCATTTACACAATCATCACACCATCATTGCTGTTACAATACTAATAATTCTCACAGATGCATGGGGCTGTTTTACAAATGAAAGTCTATTTAAAGTCACCAAAACATGGAACGTTTCAGCAGCTGGCCTACTAGTGATACAAGTCTCTCTGAGACCATGCACACAGTCGGGTTTAGCTGAACTGCCATTTCATTCAGCCTGATCTTTACATTAGCTTCTTTTCTGTTTGGAAGGGTCAGTGGGCATCAGGTGTTCAGCTGGAGTAAGAAATCTGAGATTGAGATAGCTTAGCAGATGCCACAGTACCACATAGCAGTAATGACAGTATTCAAGGCGGTATTATTTCATCTTCTACTATGAGAGTCATAAGATGAAGAGTGGAAACATGGTATACTGCCAGAAACTTGAACCAACATAGTGTCATGTTACAGGCAAAAGTTAAGTCTGGGTTAAACAGTTTGGTTTTGCCTACAGTCGCAGCAGCAATCTATTCAGACATTACACCGACAGTTAGGGTTAGAAAATGAATGAATGAGTCTAGTGACCTGTTTTGCCAATTCTGAGTGGGCAAACAGACAAGCAGCTCTACTGACACACAGAAGGTCTGAGGTGAGCGGCGTGTCCGAGTGGAACTCACCGTCCAGCAGGAAGTGAAGGGAAAGCCACAGACTTGAGTTTCTTCTCCTCTGCTGCTGAGAGGCAGTTTTTCACGGTCTTCTCTAGCTGGTCCTCACACTTGTCTGAGCCCCACTGAGGGACGTTACAGTGGATGATGAAGCGGGCTGCCATTCCACTGGCCTGGCTCACTGCCACTGCAGGATGCAAAGACACAAACACCTGAGGTTTACAGTCAAGTCCTTACACGCACATGCCGCAGGTCTCATGAGACCAGGAACCATATTTTGTCCTATTTAATTCCTTCTTTACTAACTTAGGCCCTCAAGTCCCTATCATCCTTTCAGACTGTTTGTTTTTAACAGTGTCAGAACTGTTGAATGAATGGAACTACTGTTCACCCAAAGGTTTAAAGGATCCTTGGAGAACTAAGTCTGTTGTTTTAGTTTTGGTATGTATGTAGGAGGGAGTGTCTGTGAAAGAACAGGGTGTTTGTCTTAGCTTCGATCTGTTTTCTTATTTTCTTAATCACACAGTCACCAGGTGCCATTTACAAACAGCATCAGTGTCCATTACAAGTCTTCAGAATGAACAAAATGAATGAACTTGAATCAAATGTTTTTGTTTCCTCTATCAGATTTAGAGGCATGACAGGTCACATGGCAGTGGCACAGACCAAAAGTGTCACGCTCATGTCTGTACTGGGAGTGTGTTCAGTCTCACACCGGAAGCACTTGGTGTACAAACAGAGCACAGAGGAGCTACAGAAACCCCTTGGACAAGGGAAACTATGTCCAAACAACAACAACAAATGGTACACAGTGAGGGTACACATGAAATACATGTACTTGTACAGTGTAACCTGTGGTCAAACACAGCAAATACAAACTACACACACTTCAGAAAGAACTGTGAGCTCAGTAGGATTGATGTAACAGACATTCTCCTGTTGTACCTGTCTATATTAGAAGTACAAATACTGCACTTCAGAAATGTCAAACCTTAACACAGTGTTTTATTTTTATTACAAGTTTATCATTTAAAAAAGTTAGAACAAAGTCTGTGTGCTGTGAATGACAGTACAGAAAGAAAATCAGAATCGGCGGGTCAGACAAAACTTTTGAAAATCAGAAACATGATGAAAATTGTAATTGGTGCATCTCTAACTAAAATACTATTTAAAATAATATAAAGAAATATTTCTGTGGATTGAATACTCTGTTCACCAAGTCGGTGTGATGTGTACAACGTCCGCCTACTGAGGTGGGTGATGGCACAGTTACCATCTGTACTAACTGCAGCTCAGGCAGGACGTGTCTCTTCTTGCTGCTCTAAAGTCACTAGTGCAGGCTAGTTCATGCTGCCTGAGCACAGCCACAGGTCAGCACACTTCACTCCCTCTAACCCCAGTGGAACAGAGTTTGCTTGGAGGCCTCACAATAACTGTACAGCTCTTCAGTAAAACACAAAAGCTCTGACAGCACAGCTGACACAGTTTCCCACGTGTAAGGGTTCTGTCCTGGGACAGCCTGTACCTGATGCCACTTCCAATGGCCCCTGTGCTTTGCGCAGCTCCTTAACGCCATCCAGGAACTCTCGGCCTCCTGCCTTCTCCAGGGCGTTGCCTCAAAACAGAACACAGCAGCAGGTGAGCACGGCACCAAGCGGGTAATATGAAGGCTGAAATCTTATCGCACATGAACATGTCTTTCTCACCCACTCCGTCTTTGAGGTCCATCTCAGCATTTGTTGGGTTAATTATCCCTTCCACTTTGATGGTTCCAATTTTACTGATTTCACTCTCTGTCAGTGAAAGCTGTGGATTCACAAAGACAAACTCGTGTGTTGGTGGGTCTTTTACCAAAAATCACAGTAACCAGACACTTAAACCTGTTGTCACTTGGAGGACCCCCACAGTCTGCCTCCTGCTGTGTGCTACATGGATCTGGTTCTGCAGATACTGTCCTAGGTTCATGTGTGAAAATGGCCGGCTCGTACCTTCTGTCCGAGGAACAGGCTCTTTGCCGACAGGATGGTGAACCCATCTCCAAGGCCATCTTCAGCTGTGGAGTTTGGTACAGACTCTTTGTTGTTGTCTGTGTTCTTTGCCTGACGGACAGAAAACAGAGCAGGTAAACCCCACTCACCCTGCAACAGGATTCACAGCTTACACAGGTCAACGATAAAGCTGCCTATCAAATCAACTGAAACTTAGCATCAGTAAGTGTCAACAATCAAAAGGTGGCATCCAAAGTTGGTTAGCTTGTTGGGTTTCTTATGTCATTCTGAGATGTCCTGAGTCTAAACTTTTTAGCTTTATTATAATTTTGGCCATATTGATTTCACCCAGACACACTGGGCACCATGGCATACACTAAAACTTTGGATTGCAGGCACCGTGGAACCTCGGTTTTCGTGATTAATCCATTCGAAAAAGTCCAATGAAAACCGAATCGTACGAAAACTGAAGCAATATTTCCCATCAGAAATAATGTAAATCCAATTAATCCGTTCCAGACACCCAACAATATTAACAAAAATACATTTTATAGATATATTTTTACATACAGAAAACAATGAGAAATAAATATAAATGACTAATGAAATGGATAAATGAACATTTAATATCACCTTTACCTTTATTGAAGACTCTTGTTGGCGTATGGAAGACGGCGAAGAGGGGAGAGGGAGAAGGGGAGGGTATTGTTTGGCGGGATCAGGACTGTCCGGGCTTCAGTTAACATATACATACAACAGTTTACATACACATACCTGTACAGTGGAATCTTGGATTGCGAGTATAATTCGTTCTGGCAATGTGCTCATAATCCAAAGCACTCGTATATCAAAGCAAAGTTCCCCATAAGAAATAATGGAAACTCAGATGATTCCTTCCACAACCATTCATATAAAAATGATTACAGTAATACAAAATACAGTATAAAGTAAAAATAAAACAAATTAACCTGCACTTTACCTTTGAAAAGAATCGTGGCTGGGTGAAGGAGACGAGAGAGAGGAGCTATCTGCTCTCTGTTGGCTCACTGAAATCTTTTTCTTTTTGTGCTACTTTAACAAGGAACCTACTTGCTTTTGCCTCCTTTTGAGGATTTGGCAGAAATATGGCATTGCATTGTCGTTAAACAGATTTATCGTTCATACTGCTACAGCCTTATTCAGGTGGTGCTTTTCCACAAAATTTTGCACCATTTCCCACATTTTACACATCTCCCTTATAAATCTTGAGATGTCGGCCACTCACATACCTCATTCATGCTTCTCGATAATTTCCTTTTTAACTTCCACCATAATCATCTCCTTTTTCTTACCACCTTTCTTTTCGACCTTTATCTTTTCTTCATCGGGGCCATTGTTGCAGTACAGATGTTGACTATATGAGTGAGGCGCGAGAACCATTGGCTCAGTTGTGTCATGATGCTTGGCAGACAAAGCGTACGTACTACTCGTATCGCAAGACCTCACTCATTTATCAAGTTAAAATTTACAAAAAAATTTTGCTCATCTTGCAAAACACTCACAGACCAGGTTACTCGCACACCAAGGTTTTACTGTATTTTGTTAAATGACAGCTAACAGCTAACTATGACCCTGAATGTAACAGCTTAACAAAATAATCTTAGCTCAAGGTCCACTTCATCCATACCACATGGCCTTCAGAGTTTAAAAAGAATTCTGGATGTCTGAACTGCTGGGGCTTGGATTTAAAGCGGTCTTGCCTATAGCTCTGCCATGGGAAGTGGTTGAAAGCTGCAGCAAAAGCTAACAAATGCACCATGGCTACAGATGATTCTGTCAAGACTTTTAAAAACATTTCCAAAATTCTGGTATGAAAAGACATATCAGTTTGGTTCCGGTACCAAAACTCCACCGTTATAGAAAGTGTTCCAGTGATGCCCATGAGTCACTAAGATTTGTATTCATAACAGGGTTTACATTCAGAGCGGCATGAATTCAAGATATCGAGTTGGTGACCTCAGTGTTTTAGCACTGGACATTTTACATGTGGTTACAGAGAGAGATGTTTTTCCTGCTGTTGATGTAACACACAATACCTGACCAACTTGTATGTTCCATAATTGTGATGACTGATGAGAATTCCACTGCAATCACAGAATACACAAGTTACAAAGGTATTGTCCTGCTTCTACTGTGGTCACCTGCTGTCAAAATGCCTTTTGTGATCCAACTAAAACTGTTTGCTATCAGAATGGGCTTCGCAGGATCTAGTTTGTGCGGCTGTTGTAGTGTTGTACTGACAGGTGTTTATGTTTTTCTGTCCACCCCTACTATAACTATGAGGCTAGGCTAAATAAGAGCAACAATAAGAGCAGCTCTTGGTATAATGAAGTGAATTCAGCAGCAGCACAGACTTCAGCCTCCACACTGATCCTACAGTTGGTTCGATTGGCCAATCACTACATAAAGTGAGCACGGGTGTCAGAAAGTAAAGGGAAACTTAACAGCTGCCACCGTCTGATTCCACTGGTGGAAAGGTGCTTTCAGACAGCATTCAACAATCTGACCAGCATTTCCTGTGCAGCATAATGAGGCCTTATTGATCCGTTCTCTCTGTTCTGTTGAGCTGACTGACCTTTGGCTTACGCCCTGGTTTGCCTTTAACCTTCTTTAAGGATTTCATGGGTTTCTTGCTCTTCGAGCGCTCCCCCTGCTTCTCGAGGGTGGATGCCTGGCTGTCCACTTTCACCCGGCCTCCCCTCTTCTTGGAGAGCAGCTCTGGGTGGATCCGAGGCAGAACCCCTCCATTTGATATGATCACTCCCCGCAGCAGCTGATGGACAAAACATTTCAGCAATGAAAAGTCTGATTATGTACTGTCATACAACATACAGCACAATACCACGCATTCTTTGTTCACAACAATGTTCTTCTCTTTAAGAAACCGTGACTTGTCCTGTGCAAGCACATGTCAAAGGGCTGTGGTTGCTCCCAGCAGCTTTTGGATACTTCACGCCTTCTGCAGCTGCGACACCCAGCAGCCATCACTTTGCATACAATCATATAGAAAGGACAATACTTTCAGGCACATTAGGACAGTAGCTTGTTACTAATATAACACTAATTACATAATTATGGGTATTCAAACCCAAACATCATTTCTTATGGATGCACCATTGCATTCATCAGAATGCCGTTAACCCCCCGTCTTCAGTACACTGTACACTACCTGCCCAGCAGACACACACACTTTAGATTAGCTGGTGAACACTGTGATGTGTTTAGCAGCTAAAGAGCCAAATAGTTCTATCAGATTCTGGTTACGCAGCTTTTACGTGTGTACTTATAGAGCTCATTATTTTCCATTATCCATCACAGGGCTGACACTCAGAGACAACCATTCACAACAATGAGCACCTTAGAGTCACCACTGCTTTTGTTTTGTTTTTAATTACTGGTGGTAATTTTGGCAATTAAAAAGTTTCATCTAAAATTTGGCTTTTAATTGGATTAGATCCAGTTAAACAAACACTAATAATTTTCCACTGCTTGTATCTCAAAATGATACAAGCAGTGAAAACGTAGGGCTGCCCCATGAACATCGACTAGTCAGATTCACCAGACCCGTCGACTGACGCATCAAGCCTGTGATGGCCTCTATCAACTTCCGGGATATGACTGTGCAGATGAGTATCTCTGGTCTGAGTTTCTTTACATCGACACAAAGCGCTAGCCAGTAGCTGGGTTCCAGATTAAAGAGAGGCGATCAGGGTTCCAGTGGGTGAGAAAGTCGGGATTACATAGTTGTGTTGTCACGCTATACCTCAGAAACAAATTTTCACTCCTTCCCATCAGTACTGCATCAAGGGTTCTACAGCTAACCAAGACAACTTCAGTCCTACAAAAACACTCGTGTGTGTGTGTGTGCAGTACACATGTTCAGTCGGGAGACTTCATAGTGACTGCTGGGGAACTGAGGAGACTACAAAAAAAGGGAGTATTCCGGTTCTCTCCTCCTGGAATGAGCTAATGTTTGGGAGTGTTGGCCAAGGCCAGAGAGCCATGTCCTGGATTCTGACTCTGAGATGGAAACAGCGGCACCTGGTCATGATTATGATGATCATGACTGTGTGACTCCTGTGACAGCAGGTGAGATGGCCAATGACAATGAAGCCTTGCATTGGAAGATTAGGGAGCTCCAACACTAGCTGGAAGTGCTACAGCTGCAAAACCATTTCGACATACATTGATCTTGGCAGGGTCAGATGAGGACATATGTTTTTCACACTAGGCTGGCTCATAAGGATTTGGGAATAGCATTGCACCTGGCAGATTGTTATGTACGAGTTTGAATAACATGTCATTCGAGGAAGCTACTTTTATAAAATGAAGTCTAACATAACTACATATACATCTTGAACCCTTTGTCCCTTTTGCTCCTCGGGCTGAGCTTGCCACTTGTACCAACCTATGTACACTGCTGATGGTAATCTTCAGTAGGTCTTCTGGGCATCTTGTTTAAAACAAAATGCTAGCCATCTTCCAAACTTCATTTCCTCTCACTTGTGTCTTGGGAATGGAAGTGTACAACCACACTGAAGAAAGTAGAAGTAGAAATACGTCACCTTGTGCAACTAGTGAATAGAAGGTAGCCCCAGCCCCCTAGTGTAGTTTGTCACCTTCTTCCCCTCATTTAGTGCCAAGCCGCAATTTGCTCAGTACTTCCCCCTGTGGTCGGGAGGGAACACTTCAATGGTGAACACTGTCCAATGCATGGATGTAGCAAATTGCTGCCAAGAACGAGGAGAAAAAGACAACAAACCCACTAGGACAAGCTACATAGATGTGAGATTTGTACTTTATTAGAAGTGAATATCATGGTCTACTTTCACAAGACAAAAGACTTTAATGGTGGTGACAAAGTGGTTGGTTTTGCAGGTGCACCCGGTTTGTTTCCCCGTCTCCCGTTAAGTGTAACGCACAGCCATTTACCGACTGTTTCTGTGACATGCATCCATCTGAACGGTACTAGGAAGTTAACAAATGCGCTGAGGAAACATTTCAATGAGGAACATAAATAAGAGGAATCATGAATATATATTCTTATATTCTTTAGCAGTGCAAGCTGGCACGTATCAAACCTAACAGCATGCACTAGTGGTTAACTGACCAGAGAAGCTTGTTGCTAAACTAGACTATACCCATGTTTCAGAACAAAAAACTCTTCCCTATAAGAGCATTGTTTCAACAGAAATACAAATGTGCTGCCTGTCTCGTTATTCCAGTATTATAATTAAACCTTGCTCCATATGCAGCTGTATTTTACTGATTTTTAAATGTTCAGAAGTATGTTCCTGTCACTTTTTTGCATTTAATTACTGATGTTAATGTGGTCAAAATCAACAGTGAAATTCAGGCCAGTTGACTTTCTGACAGTCTATACATACAAAAGAACAAATAGTCGAATACCCGCACTAAACAGCTGAGTCCAAGTCGACTGACAAACTCTCAGTCAGGTTCAGCCCTGAAAAACATTGTACACTGCCTGCAACTTCAAGAAACCTTGTGTATTATATAAACTACAATGAACAGTGTCCTTTTGTCTTGTAGCATGAAAAGGCAACTTTTGGAACCCAGTTTGACACTGATGTGCCTCCTTTTTAATAACATGAGCCTACAGTGCTGGTTAAGTGGGGTAGGGATCAACTCCAAAAGCACATTATCACCAAGTCTGAGGTGTTGGCTCTGTTTGTACATGATGATATTTTCTTGAGAAGCTTTACCTGTCGCCTGCTTGCCAGGCTGCACTTGAGGCTGCTAAAATGTTATGTGGAGGGCCTGTCTTAGCTGCACCTGACTTCACCCTTCATTATAAGAGATGCTTTCCCCCCCATTAAAACTGTGCTTCTAACCATAACCCCCCATGGTTAGGTGTTAGGATGAGGTTAGGGTTCAAGTTAAAGGAAACACAACCTCACGGGTGAACAGATCTCAACACCACACCGGTGCTGTTCTCCTTCAGGAGGATCATCAGGGCATCGATCACAGCACACTTGTAGTAGAATAAAGAGAGAAGAGCTCACTTTGCTCCTCATCTTACAGAATTTTGAGGTGTAGGCCTATGTTGGTGCAACTTCACAACCCTCATACCATAATCCTTTAGTTTTCATTTCTCAGGCATGCACCTTGAACCAGCAGCTTGTGCAGTGTGGTCCCTCCTCCTACAGGACTTTAACCTAGCGATTTCGCATAAAAAGGGCCCAGAGAGTGTGACCGCTGACGGGCTATCTAGGTCTTCCTAAGCTTCCTTTTGAATTAAACATAATAGGGGTATGTCTATTCTTGGAAAAGGGGGTGTTACAACTGTCATTATATTATGTGTGCTCTGCCTAGCTGTGTGTAATCGTTCCTCCCATGGTGTGAGTGTGTGTGTGAGATGACTGCCAGCTGGTATGTGATTGTACACAAATATAAATAGGTTGCCAATGGAGGATTGCTTCCACCTGTTCCAGCTCAACACCAATTGGCCATCTGGAGCTGATGGTGGGATATTTAAAGTGGGAAGACGGCCACGCCTGGAGGGATGGCAGAGCTCAATTTCCTCATTTTCCAGCCGGCCCTGCTTCACCTTTAGCGCCACCAGTCCTACACTGATGTGACGCTACAGGTGTATATAATCCCTGGGCGCTTGTAGGGATAGGCTGCCTTTTTGTTTTGTAACAGTTTTCTCCTGTTCTTGATATTTTAGCGAGGTAAGTTTGCTGTTTGTTCCTTTTGGGCAGATATCTTTTTTGTTTTGATTTCCTATAGTTAGACCTTATTTGTTTGCTATTTTGGCCTTTGCCATCCTCAAGCTTAAACCATATCATGTACATTTAAAACACCACCTATTGTAAATAGATTCACATACATATCTGACCCATGGTTCCTTTGGAACATGAGGAACTGAGGTGTCATTTATGCCTTGGCCACCCCAGACGTGGCATATGTTCACCCACTTGTGACTATTCTTCACCTGAAAGGTCTACACACAGATCTTGGTCAGTCACCTGCAGACCACTGTGTTACCTGGTTGAGCTCCTCGTCATTGGCCACAGCCAGCTTGATGTGTCGGGGTGTTATTCTGCCTTTCTTGTTGTCTCGTGCTGCGTTTCCTGCCAACTCCAAGATCTCAGCTTAGAGGAGAAACAACACAATGTGCAAACCCATCAAACATACGTGTACTTAAACATATTTATGTTTCACTTTCCAGATACATTGGAAAGGTTTTAAAAAAGTTCACGTTAGTTGGCATCATGATGACATTATGACTGTGTATCCTGATGTCTCAGGACTTTATCTGACAATCTAATACTGCACTGCCACAGGCGGATGCCAATACCTTATAGCATCTGTATCTCAAAAATGAGTGCCTGTTTTTTCTAAACTTATTATGAGATGTTTTTAAAACACCAACAGTACATGCAATCTATAAAATAAGGTTGTGACATGTGAAAGGAGGTGTGTATGAGCTTGGCAGTCTGATGTGATGACTGATGTTATACAAAATGTGTTGGATATTAATATTTCATAACAGGCTACACAAAGCTGGTTTTGTCTGGAGATTGAATGTTTTGATACAATATGTGATTAAACATATCTGGTAGCCTAATATAAAACAAGTAGCTTTTTTCAAAGTAGCTCTGAGTAATAACGGCTGGCGACCTCTGGTCTAGAGATTTGTTTTTGCAACACGTCCAGCTTCACTGCAACCAACTGGCAGTTATGATGTGCGTCACAAATTTGCAGAATCAATCAATCGTCAAAACTCCTTGAAAAGCTCAGATGCTGCAACCGAGTCACAGACCATTTAGATTCTAGATGTGAACATTTTTAAATTGGCCTTGGTGACAATAAATATATCAGCACAGTAAGCACTGTATAAACATACTACTCTTCTTAGCTGATTACAACAGTGTTATTATTATTTTTATGTACAAAATTGAGATTTTGGTGAATATTTAAGCTTTTAGCATCAGTTCTCATAGATCAGCGCTGTATGTAGCCTCAGGGCTGTAAAACCAAAACATGCCTAGTGTACTGGCCTAGGGGTAGGGGTAGCTTGTGACTATGAAGCAGAAAAGACGTGGAACTCGTGTCCTGGTAATGCTGCAGATGTTGGTTCAACTTTTATTTTGCACCAATTTTTCAACCATGACGGGACAGCTTCAGAGGACACTGATCCATGAAGCATCTAAATGTTTGCTGGGATGTAGCACACACATTCAAATCCTCTGTTTAGTTTTAAAATTAAAACTGACTTCCAATCTTTCCAGTTTAAGGTCTGATGTTATAGAATATGAACCCAGTTTCTCCTCACACCCTACCTGCCAAGTACTCAATGACAGCTGCCATGTAGACGGGCGCCCCCATGCCAATGCGGTATTTGTGCGTGCCATTGCGCAGGTACCTCATCATCCTCCCCACAGGGAAGATGACGCCAGCCCTGGACGACCGCGAGAGCTTCATGGCCTTCTTCTTCCCTCCTCTGGCTGACATTCTGCTCTGGACACAGAGTACAACACAGTGAGTGAAAAACGTAAAGAACCTTTAAGTACAGCAGATTTTTAAACAAACATCAATGCACCTTGGTAGGGTCAGGTCTCCTGTACTGCTAAATAAACAACTGTGTTATCAGTCCACCACTCCAGTACCGTGCTATCAAGAAGACCTCTTTCCAAAGACAGGCTCCTTGTTACTCTGGATAATCCACACAACACACTGGGGCCAGTGTTCAAGCTGTTCCTACTAAAATAGGAGCAAACCAAAGGTTGCTGTAGTTGTTCAGACTGTACATGTCAGATGTTACACAACTGACAAGACAACGGCCATGTTTTTCAGACCAGAGCAAAAGGTCAAAGGGTCTGAAAAGGTGCAAGTTAAATATTTTTTATTTAGTGTTTTATTGTAGTCAGATAATATGACGTCCAGATCTGTTTACACATACATTTACCGTTTCCTTGTGAAAAGTCCAGATGGAATTGTTTGATTTAGGGAAGGTTTAGGTCTTAGCTATTAGTGATGTCATGTTGGCGAACAATCAAAGGCTCATCGGTAGGAACGAAGGGATCCGAGTCCTAATAGAGAGCTGCTCTTTCAATCTTTGTGCCCAAAATATCACTTCCTGTTCTAAATGTACTTCACTGGGAAAGAGACAGAGCAATGGTCAAGCGAGCTAGAGAGTGAATGAAGAGAGGGAGCCATGTTAGCAAAACAAGGCAGTTAATCAGAAACATAAAAGGTATTTTCTGATTGTTTCAGGTCAGTTACTAGAACTACCTGTGGCTCAGGTGGGCTGTTTACATAGTCCAGTGTCATGTGAACAGTTTTTCCCTAAGACACTTATTCCTGAGCAGGGTCATGGGGGGCCAGAGCCAATCCCAGCTGGCACTGGGTGGGAGGCGGGGTCCACCGTGGACAGGTCGCCAGTGCATCACAGGGCTGACACACACACACACACACACACACACACACACACACACACACACTCCTGGGGGCAATTTAGAGTCTGGAGAAACAACATGTATTTAAAAAAACAGACTGAGCCCAGAGACCCTACAGCAAACACCCAGTTTTAGTCCAGATGGTTAGTCACCCCCCCACCCCTGCCCAGTACATTCACCATGGACACATTGAGCAAATGTTGTTTATGAAGAATTTTCCCACCTCCCATGTCAGACAGTCTTCTCACACGCGCAGTAGACTGAGCTCTCCAGAATAGGCCGTGCGCGTTTTGTTGATATCAACAATAACAACAATACACTTTATTATAGTGGAGGCTCATACATTACATGTGTATTACGACTACGGCCTTGGTTGTAACGTGTTTACACACTAAACAAACAGACTACTGTTTTACTACCGTGCACAACCACTACCATGCGCGCCAGAATGGAGCATGTGTCGCCCGGGGACGTGAATGTGAAAGCCCCCCCCCCAGCTCTCCTACATGTACACGGCTGCAGAGAGCGTCGGTTCCGTGTCTCCACCGGCGGACACCGGAGCTCACCGGGCCTACATGGTGCGTGTGCGCACATACCGAGCTGGCGTTACTGTACCGAATAACGCACCAGTGAAGGCAGCAGCCCCCGCGCACATTACACTGGACTTCTAGGTCACAGAAACCGTAGAATGGCTTGACAAGGCCACAACAATGTAAGTCAGCAAAAGCTACGGGGTTGTGTTAGCTCCGCCAGCTAAAGCTGCTGATCCAGCGGACAGTGCGCGGGGGCTCCGGCGTCCCACAACACATCCCGCTACAATAACTACTCGGAGCCGTTGGTTGAAACAGCCCCCTCCCGCCCCTCTGCTCTCATGTAGCCTCCAATCCTCTGCATGTGTGGAGTCACATCAGACGTGGAAAGTAACGTCCCCGTCGATCCGGATATGCGCCGAGCCATGAAAAATGACAAACCCTCCCCAAGTTTCTACCTGTTTTCTCCTCCTTTCTCGCGATTCAGCGTCAGCTCGAGATGCTCCTGCACGGAAGACAGACGACTCCCCCCGTTTTGCTTCGGCTCTGTATATTTGCTGCCCTTGTGCCTAATGTTGTTTTCCAGTCTTAAAAAGAAAAACCCCACAGAGCAAGCAGGAGCAACGTAGCCTGGTCGGAGGCTGGCTCTGTGCTACTGATGCTGCAAAGGGTAAAAATTCAGCACAGGGAAAATACCGAGAAAACGCCCCCTGACCATGGCTTCGACAGCAAGAGGGGGAATGCGGCTGGAATGGAAACGAAGACAGCATTGTGTTTAAAGGCATAACAATATAAACACATTCTTTATTAATAAAAAATCATAGGAGGCCTGGTGACCTGAAATGACCTCACAGAAAGGCCTGTGTGTGTGTGTGTGTGTGTGTGTGTGTGTGTGTGTGGGCCATTTGACTATAAGGCTGTGTAAAATGTGAATGAAACCTGTATGATCCCAAAACCAGGATCCGTCCTCCGTCTCCATGCAGACTGAAGAGGGGAGGGAATCAGACGGAAAAATCCCAGCAGCCTGTTTATGCATCAGAGGAGAAATCACAGCAGCCAATCAGATCACTGCATCCTTGAGCAAGACACTGAACCCCCAGATGCTCCCGGTGATGTCACCGGTGTGTGAATGCGTGAGTGTTTGGGTGTGTGAATGGGTGAATAGTGTGAAAGCTCTTTGAGTGTGCTGTAAAAGAGTAGAAAGGTGCTATACAAGTATAAGACCATTTACCATTCAGCCCTGACAGGCTCATAGAGCTGTGAAGGGGACAACAGCCACATCCATTTACTACTGGGTATCTTACGTTCACTGGTGGAGAGTAACTAAGTAGATTTACTCAAATACTGTACTTGATTACAATTTTGACGTATCTATACTTGAATATTTTCATTTTCTTTTACTTCACACTTTAACATCACTACATTTTAGAGACAAATATTGTACTTTTTACTCCACTACATTTTATAACTTTAGTTACTAGTTACTTTTTAAAATCAGATTAATTAAAAAATACAGTATAATCACAAGACTTTGTTGATCTCTGGTGGAAATTTCACAAGCTACCCAGTAAAGTATTTCAAATTATAGGCATATAAGCTGGTTACAACTAGCTCCACCTTTACCAGCTGCAGCATTAAATATAATGTACACATGAATGTATCAGTGATTATAATCCATCGTATGATATACATTAATGTTAAATGTGCCTTTAAATATGTTTTGATGTTAATACTTTTGTACTTTTACTTAAGTAACTTTTTGAATGCCTAACTTTACTTGTAACTACACTAAGCTATACACTGTGGTATTGCAACCTTTACTTAAGTAAAGAATCAGAGTATTGCGTGGCTGTGTGCAGGCAGGTGGACAGAAAGCAGACCCTCCATCATTCTGAAGTATGAATAGGAACACGTGCATGCCCCTCGTCTGTGTCCATGTGCACACGAGGGTGTGCAATATACATGCATTCAGTTGTTATTTACAAATTGACATTATTAAATGACATTATCATTAAATGGAGATTCAACACACCTGCCCCTCTTCCCTGATTACTCACCAGCTGCACCTCATTAGTCTCCTCCATACTTATACACTGTTCACCAGTCACTCCCCTGCCAGTTCTTTCTCTATCTTCAGGCCAGTGGTTGTTATGTTGTTTTATCACGTTTATGCTAAGATTGTCTTTGTTCTCTCTAGTCCTTGTTAGCACCCTAGTCGTTATCCTGCCCTGCCGTCTCTAGTGTCTTCTTCCTCTTCGGACCTCTCCTCTGGACCCCCCTGGATTTAATCTACACCACCAGCCACCGCCTCCCAGGTCGATGCACAGTCTCCCTTACCCAGTTTATCCCTGCTCTTCTGTCTACAGCCATCATCACCTCCACCTCGACCAGCCCAGGAGTGACCTCTGCGTCCGCAGCCCGGTACATCATCATCCACCATACCACTGACTGGTTTTCTGCTGCTGCTGATCGACACCCGGTCATCTACCTCATTACTCCTCCTGTATATATGTCACTACCTTCACTGTAAATAAACCTCACTGCTTACACCGAAGCCAGCCACCTGGGCTTTTTATCTGCTCGCTCACTCTGTGTTCGAGCGCACCCTAACACCATCTCTCTCCACAGGCATCCTGTGGATGTAGATGGGGCTGTGTGTTCCCTGTCCCTCTCTCTGTCTTTGCTCTGTTTTTTTAATTTAAAGGTTCAGGATTCAACTACACAAGGCAGCAAATCAGTGCCATGTACAGTATATGTTGTGAAAAACAAGGAACATTACTGAACATGTTTAAAAGAAAACTGAAAGTCAAGGTCAAAGGTCAAAGTGTTTATTTGTCACATGCACATTTAGGAAACATGTTTCCCTGTACAATGAAATTCTTACTTTGCCGTCCACATGAATGTCACAAAATACAAATGAAATATAAAGTAGATAAATAAGTAACATCACGTATTTCCTGGTAATAAACTCCTCAGCTGTTTAGGAGTCTGATGGCAGAGGGAAAGAAAGAGTTTTTCAGTCTAGTGGTCCTACACTTCACACTCCTCTCCTGTTTTTATTATATATTTTTCCTCTAGGTCAGATTATCCGGCGTTTTAAGAATGTGTCATGTCATTTTTATGCGGATGATCTTCAAATTTACTGTCCTTTTGATGATTCAGAGTTTCACTTTTTAGCAATATTATTATTAGAGTGGCTGTCTTCCATCAAGAACTGGCTCAATAATAATTATCTTCACATAAACTCCGATAAGACTGAAACTCTTGTTGTTGCTCCTGTTAGTGTTGGACCAGGCGATGTCTCTTGATTGTCATATAAGACAGTTAGTCAGGAATTGCTTTTATCATTTGAGAAATATCTCTAAATTAAGGAAGATTTTATCTAAGGCGGATCTTGAAATGATTGTTCATGCGTTTATTTCTTCATGTATTGATTATTGCAACTCTCTTTTTGTTTGTTGTAATAAGTCTACTTTAAACCGACTTCAGATTGTCCAGAATGCTGCTGCGAGGCTCCTCACAGGAACCTCTAGATCAGCTCATATCACACCGGTTTTGTACTCACTCCACTGGCTACCAGTCAAGGTCAGAGTTGATTTTAAAATTTTAGTGCTGACATTTAGAGCACTACATGGGCAGGTCCCCCGGTATATTACTGATTTGTTGGTTCCATATTCTCCCAAACGTACTCTTCGTTCCTCAAATCAGCCCCTTCTGTTGGTCCCAAAAACTCGCTTTAAATCTCGGGGGGACCTGTCTTTTAAGGTGGTTGCTCCAAGACTGTGGAATGCTTTACCCTTGTCTTTACGTATGGCCGAATCTGTTGAGGGTTTTAAAAAGCAGCTGAAGACACATTTATTTAGACAGTTTTTTAATTGATTAGGTTTACAGATTTTTATGAACTGTTTTTATTCTGTTATTTGAATTGCTTTTAGGTTTTATGTATATTATTTGTGTTCATTATTATTATTACCATTCTGTGATGTTGTGAAGCACTTTGTGATTCTGTCTGTGAAAAGTGCTATATAAATAAAGTTTACTTACTTACTTCTGAACCTTTGGCCAGAGGGTAGGGAGGCGAACAGTCCGTGCTGGGGGTGGGTGGGGTCTTTGAGGATGGAGGCAGCTTTCCTACGCCCTGTGGGGGTAAATGCTCTGCAGAGAAACACTGTCTCACATATTCTCTTTATGGCCCTTCAGCCTTTAAACATGCAAATAAAATTTGCAGGAAAGTTTTTTTTTTTAATCAGAGGTTGTCAAGGAGTCTGGAGGCTACAGCAGAGTGCACATGAAGATGTCTTAGACAGCAGCCTGACAGCTGAGTTCTGTACAGTCTGTAAACCAGCCTGTTAAATAGGCATGAGATAAGATAAGTATGTAAGATGGTCTCTGTGTCTTTAAAATTTAAATTGATCTTATTTTTGAAACAATTCCAAGGTGATAAAATCACAAGTGACCACATTTAATGGTGTGATGTTCAAAAGACTTCTTGATCTATTCCAAGACAAAACCAGTAGATGGCAGAATTCGTCTTACTATGTGCTGAGAGTCACTGCCACGGGGCATTGTGTCCGTGTCTGACGACACAACACAGGATCATTCTAAACTAGGCCTGGGGAGTTATACTGCTTATATAATGAAGGGAGTGGAGTTTCTTGGTCAAACCTAATGAAATGATTAACTTACAGATTTTATGGCAAGTTAATGGAGAAGGTGGATGACACATTACTGCTACTGACAATGAGCTGAAAAATATAATGCATAGAAACACAACAACATTAGAGCCTCTCAGCTTGGATCAAGCTGTAAAAGAACAGGAGGGAGTTTCACCAGTGGTGGGGTCAGCGAAATGAAGGAAAAAGCCAAATGTTCATTTTATTTTTGTTTTTCTTTTCGTGATAGATGTCAAGAGACGCTTCACAATGAGGACAGCTGCACTTTGAGTATGGCTCGTTACACTAATAACAGAATAATAATGACTTATAAAAATGACACCAATATTATTATAAACTGAGTAAAACATTAAAAATAAGTTCCAATTTAAAATGATGAGAGTGGTCCTCCTCCAGAGGCACCTGGCAGATGTCTTCTTCAGCCTCACTCTCTGTACTCTTCTAAGGGATGCGTGAGGGAGGGAGGAGGCCCCAGAGCCCCTTGGCTAAGGAGGTATGGACACTCCACTGTGTGGACCCGCACATGCACTGTAGATGGAGAAAACACCTGGATATAAAAGGCAGCCTAAACAAACCCTGTGCACAGTGCTGGAAAGACTAGATCGGGTCCTCTAGGCTCTGCTGCAGGAGGAGGAAGGTGTGTGTGTGTGTGTGTGTCTGTTTTGCAGTGGTTCAATGCTGTTTCATTGGGTTTGGATTTACACCCCTGGCCATACAAGTCATGGCTT